TGGCAAACCAAATATTTTGTTTTTTTTTTTTTTTTTTTTTTCCCCCAGCAATTTTACTAAGTTGCCAGATACACAGGACACTTCCTGAGCGCTAGGCATGCAGTGAGCTGTACCTAAAAGGGCTCTTTCTCTGTGGGATGTTCTCCAGCTGACACATTCAGAGGGAAAGCTGCTGCAAACAAACAGCTTCAAGCTTGTGGCTCATGACAAAGCCAGCACTTTCAACAGCTGTGTGTACAGTCTGATTAAACCCCAACCAAGGGAATAACGTGGGAATAAAGCATTACATCCCTGCAGTCAAGAATTGCATCACTTTAGCAGCCATCCCAGCAGCAACAGTAGCGCTATAAGCACCTCAGTATCATGGCCTTCCCCAGCAACAATGGTTCTAGCAGAAGAAAAATTCTGATACCTGTTACTGTATTCAGCTTAAAGATGCAGTCATTAAAGAGTCATCATTCTTCTTATTTAATTAGACAAATTTAAGCCATGTGAAAAAAATGTGATCCTTTTTTTGAACCGTTATTTAATTAGACAAATTTAAGCCATGAAAATGTGATCCTTTTTTTGAACCATCTCCATGAGTTATGTGATTAGGCTTATCCTATATAGCCTTATATCCATAGCCAAGAGCTTAGGTCAAATGATGACTATGATCTTTAATCTCTTAATTAAATAAAAGCTATACATTTAAATGTCTTAGCAATGATTTCACTGCCCACTTATTCATATCAAAATACCCATGGCAAATCACAACCCCCGGCTGGTCCGCGGCAGCGGTGTTTTGGTCCAGCCTGCCCCGGCGCTAGTACCCGCAAGTTACGCAGTTGGCTTTGTGGTCCTGCCTGGAGATGTCTATCCCTTCCTCACGGAGCTCTTGCAGGAGGATATTGATCTGCTCTTTCTCAGCTTCAGCAAAGGCGATTGTGTGCTGGCAGGTGCTGTTTTCAGGGAAATAGGCAGATTTAGCGCCACTGACCGCCACCTCCGAGGCTGGAAAGACATAAGCCAAAAACACAATAAGCAGCAGCAAACACTGATTTACTTCACCCTGCCCAGCACCTTGACAGGTTTGCGCAGCATCCCAGTCTGAAGACAACTGCCAGTGCCCCCACATTCCAGAATAAAGGCATTAAATTGGAATAAAAATGCCCATCCTGCTTGCTTTGTTAATCCATGGGAAACAACTCTAGCAACAACAAAACACAGTGGCATATCTTTCACTAAGTAGCAGAGAGAGGGAGATTGGGCTTTCTGTATACATATATGCCTGATTATATTAAAATTAGGGCAATAACAACAACAGGTTGTTGCTGATTCAGGTCACAGGTTGCTCCTGGCAGCAGCACGAGTGGTGTGAAACACCCCGGCTGCCACATGACAGAGGTGACACTGGTGATGGGGTTGATGAGGTACCCGTGGGGACCTGCGTGCATGTGCAGGGCTCCTTTACGCAAACCAGCCTGGGGCACCAATGTGTTTCAGCCGCACTCACGGCTGCAAACAGCCAGCTCGTTCCCGCCGATGTACTGCGTGGTCCAGGCAAAGCCCGTGGCGTTTCCGCACTTTTCATACAGCCTTGTCCTCCGAAGGACCTGGAAGTCGTAGCCCTGAGGAGACAAAGTGACAACCCACCTTGTCTCAGGCTGCAGCACAGCGGTGCTAACCCGCCGGAGGAGCATGGAGGGCAATGCAAACACCACTGCACTGCATTGCATTTGCTTGGGTTTTCAGAAACAGGGTCCTGAAATGTGCTGGGAGCGCTTGCTGGTGGCTTGAGCCGCCAGCTCCCATAGCAAGGAAAATGCTGCCATGGTGCAGCTTGTAAACTAGAGAAGGAAGCCAGGGCCCTCGTGGCAGTAGAGCCTCTTACCTTGTTGCACATGGGCTTGCAGTACTGCAGGCCATCAACGGTGACACACACCAGCCCGCCGTTGCGGGGGGCTAGCGGGCGTGGGCACAGGGCCAGCGGCTTACAAACTTCTCAGGGCATTTAAAGCAGGAAAAGAAAGCACAAAAACACAAAAGAGTAAAAAAAAAATGAGCATAAAATAGTTCCTCCTCCCTGCGCACCAACCAGATTAGACCATGGGCATGCTCACTGACCCGGGAATGGGCAACAACTGAACCTGCCACTATTTGAAGCTGACAAAGTGTGTAATTTTTGTCGATTTAAAACATCCGTCCTTTGGGAGGAGGTCAATTTTTACCCAATTTTTCCATTAAAACCCTCTGTGATCACAGCTCGAGGCAGTGGCTCTGTTCTCAGCATAGACACTCAGCTCCATGTGAACATCGGGGCGAACAGGCCTGGGTGTCCCTGGGAGCCGATCGAGCTGCACCCGCAGCTCGTCATTTCTGCTGCCTGAAACTGCTGCATCACTTCTTAGAGATGTGCACAGAGCACTGGTTAAGCGCCTCTCGCTTTCGAGCTGTCCTGTCACAGAAACAAGAGAGTTTCCTCAAGACATGCAGACAAGTAATGCTCGCTAATGAGAGGGTCTTTTTGAGGATTTTTTTGATATTTCTTTTCTTTTCTTTTTGTTTTCCTCATGGCTTCTCTGCTTGGCTTAACTGGTTTGTTAACACTCAACAAAGGTAAAGAGCTTTGGGTGTGTGGGGAGGACTCACATTTTTCTTGAATAGGTCGAAGAATATCCAGCAGTTCTTGAAGTCGCCAAGCAAGTAAATTGATGGACGTTGTTTCCCCTTCAGTGACCATTTTATGGAAACATTTTGAGTATTTCTATGGAGTTGGAGGAAAACCAAAGAGGCTAAGTTGTAGAGGAAAACCATTGGTGTTCCTTTGTAAAACCAGTGGTTAGAAGAGGGTATTTTTATTTCTGTATATGAAAAGATGTCTTTAAGAACAAATATATATTCGTTCCCTACAAATTATTGGTTATTATTCCTTCTGAATGCTAGCGTCTCTCACAGTTTTGTGTGTGCAAGGTATCTTTTTTTTTTTTTTTACTCTAGCTATTCCTAGATAGCCCTATAAAGACAAACAAATATCTTCCTTTCTGTGTGCCTGGATACAAAGAAGCACCCATGCATGTATGCATGGATGGTGAAGATCTGTGGCAACCTGAACGCAGAACACCAGGACCATTTTGAATTGACACAACAACAAAGAAAGCACAAGTAGTGCATGGTTTCCAATAGCATAAGCTGAAGGGCTGCCTTGCAGTGGGGCGTTGGGGGGAGCTCTGCTCCCTGGGCTAAGAGCTTCTAGAGATATTATTGAAAATGCCGAATAAAAAACATAAAAATTAAATAATACAACTCAAGTCCCGGCGGAAAGGCCACAGGCTGTGCTGCCTCTGCCCTTGGCCACACCGTTTCCCCTTGCGACGAGCTGACGCTGCAGGCAGAGCAGCCGAGGCCTTGGTGAGGCGGGGAGGCAGCTCTGGGGTGAGCGCTGAGGGACTGGGCGCTGAGCACGTCTCTCATCAGTGTGTCAGGAATGATGTCATGCTCTGCCCTGGCATTTCTTTGCCCTCCCTCCTGCCCTCAGTGCCCCTGAAGCATGTAGATATTCAGCCCTTTACACTTGAAGGTGGAATTGAAGGCAGTATGTGAGGCAAAAAGAGATGGTTTATAGGCAAATCAGCCAGAAGGCATGGCAAGGTACCAGCTAGTTTATGAACCATATCTCATGCCTGTGTGTGCGGCTCAACACGACCCCGGGAAATGCATCTAGGGTGGTGATCAGTGGTGCAGAGTCTAGTTGGAGGCCTGTAGCTAGCGGGGTCCCCCAGGGGGTCAGTCCTTGGTCCAGTCCTGTTCAATTTATTCCTCAATGACCTGGATGAAGGCACAGAGTGCTCCCTCAGCAAGTTTGCTGATGACACGAAACTGGGAGGAGTAGCTGATACCCCAGAGGGCTGTGCTGCCATCCAGAGGGACCTGGACCGACTGGACAACTGGGCGGTGAAAAACCTCATGCAATTCAACAAGGCCAAGTGCAAGGTTCTGCACCTGGGGAGGAATAACCCCAGACACCAGTACAGGCTGGGGACCGAGCTTGTGGAGAGCAGCTCTGCGGAGAAAGACCTGGGTGTCATGGTGGACGACAAGTTGACCATGAGGCAGCAGTGTGCCCTCGTGGCCAAGAAGGCCAATGGGATCCTGGGCTGCATTAAGAAGAGCATCTCCAGCAGGTCGAGGGAGGTGATCCTGCCCCTCTACTCAGCCCTGGTGAGGCCGCATCTGGAGTATTGTGTCCAGTTCTGGGCTCCACAGTACAAGAGGGATGTGGAGCTGCTGGAGAGAGTCCAGCGCAGGGCCACAAGGATGATCATGGGCCTGGAACATCTGCCCTATGAGGAGAGGTTGAGGGAGCTGGGCCTGTTCAGCCTGGAGAAGAGAAGGCTGAGAGGGGATCTAATCAGTGTCTATAAGTACCTCAAGGGAGGCAGCGAAGAGGATGGTGCTGGTCTCTTTTCCCTGGTGGCCACCGACAGAACTAGAAATAATGGCCACAAACTGAAGCACGAAAAGTTCCACAGAAACTTAAGGAAAAATTTTTTAACAGTGAGGGTGACAGAGCGTTGAAACAGTCTGCCCAAAGAGGTTGTGGAGTCTCCTTCTCTGAGATCTTCAAAACCCACTTGGATGCAGTCCTGTGCACCATGCTCTAGGTGACCCTGCGTGTGCAGGGGGGTTGGACTAGGTGATCTCTAGAGGTCCCTTCCAACCTTAAGCATTCTATGATCTCTGAGGGCTTTGGACTAGGAGGAGCAGCTCTAAAGTCGCCACAGGCTTCTGCTTACCTCAAGCGTCTCGGTCACATCGGCTATGCTTGCGCCTTTACAGTCACTGTGGCTGGCAGAAGCACCAGCTTCACTAAAATCTGAAAGACAACCAGAGGAAGAAGGGTAGGCACACTGCTAGTTAATAATAACTACCAGAAACCTTGCGTAACTGTGGTACTGCTTTGTGGCCACTACTTGGTCTAGCTGAGGTTATCAAGGCTCAAATGTGAACAAACCAGGCAGCTATTGATTTCTTTTAAACAGTGTGTGGTTTGTTCGTCTGCTTGAGGCTACATGGGGCTTAGGTCCCCAAGCAGGATGCCTGATTTCCCTAAGTGGTATTTAAGTAACCATTACTCCTCCACAAGCACCATACCAGCTTACCCTTAAGAAGCCCGGCCAAACCTACGACGAGGAACGTCCTGGTGAGCAGGCGGGAGCACAGACGCATCTTTTGTAGGTACCAGGGACCAGCTACCTGCTGCCGGTGGCCTCTGGGAGTCTGACTGATGGCATCAGGGCCTGCAGCTGTGTTTCTATGTGCTGCCGGTGTTTACTTGGCTCAAGCCAGCGCAGCAGCATGATAAGCCATGGCATGATAAGGCAGGTATTACCCAACGTGCTGGGAAGCTGCTGGTCAGGGTGCCAGCATGTTGGCCGGGAAGGATGGGGGTTCTCGCAGTGGGGCTGAGCTGGGTTGGCTGCCCAGCTGCTGCCAAACCTACCAGGAAATTCTCAGATTAGTTGTTTTACTGTAAACACTTCCAGGGTAGGGACACGTTCACACACATGCTCATATTGACGGTCTAACTATGCTTGCGGGCTCAGCAATGTAACTCCCTCTCCAAGCAAAAGCCCAGAAGGGTGGTCATGGGCACTCCAGGCCCTGCAGCAGCTCCTTGGTATGGAGGGCAAGTTATGATCAACAGGTTGTTGAAGACAAATTAAACACAGCAGCAACAGTAGCAGATGGGTAAAAACATCATGGGGGACATGAACCTACTTTCAGTGAGTGTATTTTATTATTTATTGAATGGTATTTCCATAGGAAGGAGGTTTTCAATAGTGAGGCCATGAATCTTGTATGAGAACTGCTGAGTAGCTACCAAAATTGTCACAAATATTGTGTCATTTCTACTCTAAACATTTATTATTGGATTAATTCAAGTACCCTGATAATGCTCATACACTGGAGATGTGCTGGCGCTGCAGAATGCAGGGGTTGGTGGCGAGCCGTGGTCTCCTGCCACGCTGCCAGCAGGCTGCTGCACACACACGCACTCCCTTTGCGAGGCTGGCACGGCTCCCGCCTGCCCTAAAACAGTGCGACATCACCCGCGCCTTCAGCGATGAGGCTGGGTCTTAGAGCCCTGCATCACCTGGGGAGGAATAACCCCAGACACCAGTTCAGGCTGGGGACCGACCTTCTGGAGAGCAGCTCTGCAGAGAGGGACCTGGGTGTCATGGTGGACGACAAGGTGACCATGAGGCAGCAGTGTGCCCTCGTGGCCAAGAAGGCCCATGGGATCCTGGGATGCGCTAAGAAGAGCATCTCCAGCAGGTCGAGGGAGGTGATCCTGCCCCTCTACTCAGCCCTGGTGAGGCCACATCTGGAGTATTGTGTCCAGTTCTGGGCTTCACAGCGCAAGAGGGATGTGGAGCTGCTGGAGAGAGTCCAGCCCAGGGCCATGAGGATGATCAGGGACCTGGAACATCTGCCCTATGAGGAGAGGTTGAGGGAGCTGGGCCTGTTCATCATGGAGAAGAGCAGGCTGAGAGGGGATCTGATCAGTGTCTATAAGTACCTCAAGGGAGGCAGCGAAGAGGATGGTGCTGGTCTATTTTCCCTGGTGGCCACCGACAGAACTAGAGGTAATGGCCACAAACTGAAGCACCAAAAGTTCCACAGGAACTTAAGGAAAAATTTTTTAACAGTGAGGGTGACAGAGCCCTGGAACAGGCT